ATTTAATACTACCTGGAGTCTGTATTTTATCACTTTATAGCCAGCAGTGTCACTGCTGAGGAAAAACATTATTTTCCCTATTACATTTACTTTGTGACCTTCTCACATATTCATTAATGTATAAACTATATTTAGTTAATGATAGTCTCACTCGGGAAAATGCACACTCATACAAGAAACAATCATGCATAACATTAGATGCCTTGGTAGAAGGCTACGTTTAGTAGAAAGGACCATAATGCTAACCTTATGATTCCTTAATGTATACATCAAAGGATACATACATATATATATATATATATATATATATATATATATATATATATATATTATCAATAGGATCCGACAGGTAATAGGATGTGTGCTCTCCGCTTCATTTCCTGTTCCTTGTTTGGTTGTGGGCTTGGAACAGATTCACCCAGTCTATTATCTATTCGATTCTAGATATATATGTCTAGTATACATTGAGTCATCATAAGGGTACTAGGTATGGGTCAAGTCATAGGACACAGAGTCAACGCACAGTTTTCTAGTACAAAACATACTTTCCAAATCAGAACTTTTGGTACACAAAACTAGAAACTTACCAGTTAAGGGTTTAATCCATTTTATTAAACCAGGATAAACTTAAAGGACCTTAGGTGATTAACTCTATAATGCTTTAGTTTATACATCATGGTTATATATCATTAATACCTAATAGGTAGTTGGATGTGTGCTTTCCGCCTTACTTCCTGTTCCTTATTTGGTTGTGGGCTTAGGGCAGATTCACCCAATTAATTATCTAATCGATATTAGATCATATATAGCCAGTATAAACTAAGTGATTATAGAATTAATCACTGTGGTCACCATTTTATTATAAGAAATAAGGGTTTTCTTAAAGAATCTTTTTATATAAAGGAACCATTACAATTAACTCCATGAGTAACAAGTGAACACGCCAGAGTTATATACAACAATGATCTAACAAACAATGGGATGTGTGTTATCCGCCTTACTTCCTGTTCCTTGTTTGGTTGTGAGCTTAGGGCAGATGTGCATAGTCGATTGTTTGTTTACTCTGAGTTTTATATCACTTGTATCCATTTAGTACTCATAGAAAGGATTATGGAATCATTTTTACGTATCTTTCATCAAAGTAGAAAATATAGGATTTTCTGAGAGGAACAGGCGAACTTTTCTAAACAGAACTTACAACTTACTACATTTTCCAACTACATTTTTAACAACATTTTACAACAACTTTCTTACAACTTACGTACATCACTAAAATCTTATGAACTCACCAGCTTAATTGCTGATCAACTCTTTCAAATAACTTGTATTCTCAGGAGCCTAGTAGACAGGTACTCGCGCTGGGAATTCAGAAGATGGAGCATAATAGCTTCAAGTCTTGTTTGTTATTTGCTTATGTATTCTATGTTTTGTGAACACACACTTTGTCAACACTCTCTTTCTAATGAAATGGTTGTTCATTACTTTGCTTACTATGATTCATGTCTTGTGATACTAAACATGACGTCCTCTACCCCAGAATGTTTCCGCCGTTCCGGTTTTGGGGTGTGACAGTAAGAATGGATACCCAATGGTGGTCATTTTACAGGCCGCTTCGTTAAACACCCCTTATAGACCAGCTTCGTGAATGAGGCCTACTAACGATAAGACTGACTTTTCTTTTATATATATATATATATATATATATATATATATATATATATATATATATATATATATATATATAAACCCTTAATGTTAGTATAATATAAGAGTGCATTTTAAACTTTTAAAATACTAGTGGTTTAATCTTTTAATAAATTAAACTTTTAATTTGATTAAATTTAAACCTTTTTTATGTATTTATTATTTATCATTTAATTAAACATTTAATTAAATTATTAACGACATCTATAAAGGTGTACTTTACACCTTTTAAAATACTAGGGTTCTTAAATTTAAGATTTCAAAATTAAAATTTTTAATTAAATTTTAAATTGTAAAACCATAGGGTGTATTTTTAAAACTATTCAAAAATACTAGATCAATTTTTAAATAATTAAATTAATAAATTAATTTTGTCTTTATTTAAAAAATTGACCAAATCATTTAATTTGATAAGGATATACCATTACCTTTTAAGAAAATTAAATATTAAGCAATAAAAATGAATTAAGGTAATTATCCTAATCAAATCAAGATATGAAAATCGAAAAATCAGGGATCTGACGAGTCAACTCGTCGAGTTCTGGGCAGTGAACTCATCGAGTTGGACTAACTCGTTGAGTCCCTTGAGGAACCCGTCGCGTCTGATGAATAGATTAACGAATTTTTTCCATTCTCCTTTGGACAATTCACATATGCATCAAATTCAACTGAAAAACATTCTAGGCTCTAATACCACTGATGGGTTTTGAGCATAACTACAACCTATGTGTTCATGCAACCCTAATTGCTTTGGATCTAGGTTTTTCACTAGTTGAATATGCAATCTAGCATATATATAAATCGAAATCTATATATAATTAGGGTTTAGAAGTTTACCTCACTTGTTATGTAGCAATAACAAGAAACCTAGTAGATCCTTGACTCTTGAAAGCTTAGTGCCTCAAATATGACATCTCTAATGGATTACAAACACCACTAGCAAGAGGATGAGAGGAGAGAGGAGGGAATGGCACCAAATTTCGGCTAGGGTTTTCCAAATGCAAACATTGGCCAAAAATCCGATGAGGTGGGGTCTTTATATAGTTGTGGGCTGCTAGGGTTTTCTGGAGGAAACCCTAATTTCCTGCTTAAGGCTTAAGCAGCCGATGGACTCCTCATATAGAGGCCTTGGACGAAATCCTGATGGATTTTGAGCGTAACAACAATCTTATGGTGCACATGCAAACCCTAAAGCTTTGGATCTAGTTTTTCTAATTGTACATGCAATAATCATCCAAAGCTTTATAAACTGTAATCTAGCATGCTTATTTCGAAATTGGCATAATAAACAAGTTAGAATGATACCTTTCTTTGTAGCTTGAAGATCTTCAACCTTTGAGAGCTTTAGTATCACAAGTGTAATACCTCTAATCGATCACAAACACCAATAGCAATGGAGGAATGTTAGAGAGAGGCTAGGGATACTAATTTTCGGCTGGAACTCTTCTTAGGGTTTAGTGTAGCCGAAATATGCTATCCCAAGGGGTCTATTTATACCTGAGGTATTAGGATTTCAGTCAAATACCTAATCCGGTTGCTTAGGCCCTAAGCAGCCCATAGAATTTTTCCAGAACCTTACCATGGACGAAATCCTTATGGGCTATCCATAAGATTTCGTCCACCCCTATCCTTAGGGATCCTCAGCCCATTTAGTAATTATCTTATAATTACAATATCAGTCCCCTTTATTTAATTAATCTCTTTTGATCACAAAATTAATTCTAAATTAATTTTTGACCAATATCAATTAAATAATATTATTTCTCTTTTAATATATCATTCACATAATATATTAATAAATCATAATTAACCTCTTTCTCCATAATTATCCAGTCAAGTTGCTTTGGTGAAGGCAACCCAAAAGAACTATGCTACTATCGGGTCAAGTACATGCTAATTATAGTTATAGTGCTTAGACACTAATCCAACAGAAATCTATAGGGCCTCCTTATAGTTTATGTACACTCTGATCTAAGCAGTCCAATAGCTCAGTTTCACAACTATTAATGATTTGCAAAACAGCCCATGTTCCTTTAATCAGTTCCTTTAATCCCAAAATTATCTACAAATTAATTTCTGATTAAATACTAATTAAATAACATGATTTCTAATTAATATATTATTTTTATAATACATTAATAAATCAATTTATTATTCCAAATAATAAATTCAGTCTCTCTCTTCAAAAGTCATCATTTCAAGTTGTTAGAGTGAAGACAACTCAAAATGATCATCCTACTATCAAATTAAATATATACCAATTATAGTTATGAGTTTAGATACTTAATCCAACATATATGATCGTCTAATCATCCCCCGTTGATATTATTAGCAAATTACTTTTGTTTCATGCATTTGGACACCTCGAAACACTTAAAAAATAGCATATTATTCATGTCATCTATTAGCACCTGACAAACATTTTTATTGTTTTAGGTTTTTATTTTGTTAATAGATCGTAAAACAACAACAAATAAGATAACTTTTGAAAAAATATATATATTAGATTCAAGAACAAATATTAAACTGAGAAACAAAAAATAAATATATAAATATAAATACATGTGCAGATAGAGTTAAACGAGTAACGTTTCTTCTCGGTGTTTGTATTCTTCCAAAACTTGAGCCTTCATTTGTACTATTAATCTATCAATCAATCTATAAGCTCGTTTGTATATTGTCTGCTTTCTAATTTATTTTATTTCGCATCTTCATTGATCTTGTTCTCATCATAATTGACAATCTATAACTTAAAAAGGCTATATAGACAAAATAGGATGCCTAAAAAAAATATCATATAGTACCAAACCATATAGGTCTTTTGTAAGATGATTTACAATAGTTTAATATCAAATTTCAATCTTAAACATTTTTTCAAATTTTTTTTATAAAAATACAAACGAATTATCTAATTAAAAAAATATATAACAGTAGAGTTAATTATCAAAATAATTTGTGAGACTTTTGTAAAATAAACTCGATAGAAATTTGACATTAAAAATATAAATATAAAACATTAAAAAATGGTGAAAATTATACATGTTCTAGTCTTAAAAAAAAAGTTAATATTAAATGTGAGGTAAAGTAAATAAATAATAATTAAACGCTAATACAATTACTATATTGCCCTCTGGTAAAGTCACATGTCTTGATTGGTGTCCATCTTAAACAACACAAAGTACGAGATGGCCTTTTTCGCCATTTTAGTCAAATAGCGATGGACAAATTTGTCAACACGATACAGATTCCTTTGCAACTTTAACACTACGCCCCCCTATGTGCTATGGCCCTATTCATTACCACTCCACACAAACACAGGCGGCGCGTCGAACAACATCCGGCAAGTCCGCCCCTCTACTCCATTCTCCGGCGGCGGAATCGTAAACCAACACCAATGCTTCCTTCAAACCTCTGGTGCTCCGTCCACTCCTCCTTAACAAATCATCAATACATCCCATTATTTGTATCAACACCACCTTTTCCCCCACCCCAACGCAGCTGAACCTCACCGTGCCGTCCAGTCGGACTTGAGTTGGAAGCGGCGGACTCTTTAATCGACACCACTCTCCGAAACCCACACGTCTATTTCCATTGAACCTCCAAAAAGAAAGCTCCACCGCGTGGCTGGCTAGAATGTAGATGTGGTCGCCGGAAGAGCAAGCCGCTACCACACATCCACCACCAGGTACTGCACGGCTTCTCAACCACCTACGCGCCTCCACATCGTACAAATCCATCGAGCTCGCGTAGACGTGTGCACCTGTACCAGCGGCGGTGCGCGTTCCGTCGTTACCTGTCGTGCCACCTATCTTCAGTCCACCTATCACATATAAAACTCCGTCGACGGATGCTCCGATGCACCCATATCGCATCCTCGGCGCCTGACACGCTACTCGCCATGAGTTCTTTTTTGGATCGTATTCCTCTACGGTTGCCGTCCGAGTAGACCCACCGGCGACGTATACTTTCCCTGCGACTACAGCAACTGCGAATTTTTTCCTCAACACGGACATTTTCGATCTGGGTATCACCGCTCCGGTCCAGGCGTCACACCGGAGCATCGTCGTTTTCCCAATAATGTAGATCCAGCGGCCAATCGCAGCCAGCCGCGCGTGTGACGACAAAGCGCTGTAACTCGACGGGTAAACAGCATCATCGTAGTTGTTATTCAAGAAGGATGTTGTCCTCCACTGGCTGTCGTGACCCAATTGGTAATTCGCGGCGAACAAGCCGGAATCAGAAAAAGAGACCACAAAGACGGCAAAATGGAGAAGACCACGTCGGCGGCGAAGGTCGTAGAACTCGGAAGAATCAATTAATTGGGACCACCGGCGGCAGACAAGGGAAATGGATGGTATAGAAGACTGGGCCACCCGAGAAAGAAACTCAAGGAGAAGGTCGTTTGGGAGAGAAGATATGGTGGTGGGACGGTGGAAAAAAGTGGTGGCCGGTGGAGGAGAGTAGTGGAGGGAGGGGTTTGGTCGTGGGTCTGGGAAACAAGATTTCATGAGCCATGAGAAGTGACGAGAATTGCAATTGTCCGACGATGATGACATTATCAGAAATCAAAATCTGAATTTGTGCTTAAAAATCTATACACACATCCAAAGAGGAGTACACGTGAAGGATACCTCTTCCCTAAACTTACTTTTCTCTTTATTAATGATGTGGGGTTTCTCGAAAAATTCCATGTAATTTGTTTATTTTTATTATAAATTCATGGCTAATGACAAAAAAAAAAAAAAAAAAAAATTACTAATCTAACCAAATTACTAATGACTTCTCAATTATTTGCTAAAATTTAGGACTTATTTTAAAATAGTCATCAAAACTGTAGGTGGTTAAAATTATCTACTGTTTTGCCTATTTACCTATGGTTTTGATTTTAGTATATAAGGATTTTTTTTTCATATTTCACTACGAAACCGTAGACGAAAAAATGGTCTATTGTTTCCTCTGAGAAGTCTACTGTTTCCCAATGAGTAGATTAAAAATGATCTACTGTTTCATCTAAAAACCTATGGTTTTGGGGTTTTTTTTGGTATTTGACTACTAATTCATGTATTTTGACTACTATATCGTACCTAAGGATGTCAAAAAGTCCCGTGGGACCCCGTTCCCATGGTGGCCCCGTCCCGTTTAGGGGAATTTTTTTTAAAAAATTGGGGGCGGGGACGGGGGCGGGGGCAAGGTTAACTCCCGTTTTAATTTCGGGGGCGGGGATGGGGGTAGGCAATCTCGTCTCGAAACCCTCATGGGGACCCTGTTAATAAATTATGCATATATTTACATATATTAATTATATAAATATAATAAATAATAACATGATTTTGAGCTTCCAAAAATCATCATAAAACATGTTTTAAGTTTTTAATAATGTGTTTAATATGCCATAACTTTTTTATTTTTAACATGTAAACTTTTGCTATAAAAGGGGATTCGGGGGCGGAGGAACGGGGGCGGGGGTAGGAAGGCTGAACATTTCGGGGGCAGGAGCAGGGGCGGGGGAACGGGGAAATTTCGGGGGCGGAGGCGAAGGATGCACTTCCCGTCCCGTTTGTCCCCGTTGACATCCCTAATCGTACCTAGTATATATTAAAAGAAAAATCTCTTTTAGAATAAAAGTTAGTGTTTTTTTCATATTAAAAATAGTCAAATTTAGCAAAAAAGTAGTCAATTTTATCAAAAAAATTAGTCAATAGATTCTAAAAAGTAATCTACATTTTAGCAAAAAATTATTTTATTAATTGTTAAAAAACTATTTAATATTTTACAAAAAATATTTTTTTAACAAAATAATTGTCAAAAAACAACTCTACATTTTATAAACAATCTTTTTAATCAAAATAATTCTCAAACAAATACTCTCTATTAAAAAACCGTAGCTTTTTAACCCAAAACCGTATACTTCAACCCCAAAAACGTAGATAAAAAATTTTTAAAAAAAAGAAAAAGAAAAGAAAAAAACGTAGATTTTACCAAAACTGTAGGCTACGGTTTGGGAAACCGTAGGTTATACAGAGAAAACCGTAGGTTTTAAAATAACCTACGGTTTTATATCTTCAAAATGAAAAAAAAAATTATACAAAACACGAAACAGTAGACAAATTAGCGAAACAGTAGAGATGTCAAAAACCCCCGTGGGACCCCGATACCGTACGGGGCTAAATTTTTAAAAAAACCTGGAGCGGGAGCGGGGCGGGGGCAGATTTAAACGCCCTTTAATTTCGGGACCGGGGTCGGGAGTCGGTATTTCCGTCTCGTACTCCCACGGGGGCCCCGGTTGTACATTTATGTAAAAATATATATTTAAAATAAAATACATATACTTTTTGGACATATATTTTTGGACATGTAAGTATTTTATATTTGTAATGTTGGATTTGTCGTATTTTATATTTGTAAGATTGTTGGAATTGTCGTTTTGTAATGTTGGATTCATAATGTTGGATTTTTAAATTTTTAGTTTCTAAAAGATTAGGTTTTATGTTTTTAAAAGTTATTAAAAATAGTTTTTTTAGCCTAAAACAAAGCAGTTTTTTAGCAAAAAAAATCGAATTTTAAGCCTATAAAACAGGGGAACGGGTGCAGGACCGGGGGCGGGACCGAGGGCTATGTAAACGGGGGATCCGGGGGAGGGACTGAGGGCGGGGAAACAACTGATTTCGGGAGCAGGGGCGGGGACAGCTATTTCCGCTCCCGTTTGGTCCTGTTGACATCCCTAGTCGGAAGCCTTCAGTGAAAAGTTAATTTGTATTGTTGTAAGTATTATCCAATTTACAAAGCATTATTACTATTCTAACTTAGTACATATAATTCAAGACTTGAAGCTTGTTTGAGCCACATAACAAAAGTCCAGGGTCTATACATTCACCAAACAAAATACAACATTTCTTTTGTGGTGAGAAATGTGGTTTTATTTATCAATCTTCAAATCCACATATAGGAAAATATTCAGTCAGTGGACCTAATATATCATCAGCATTAAGTGTCAAACCACTCTGCAAACATACAAATAAAACAGTTAATTTATTTAACACAACGACATTTCTGTCTTTTTAACACAAACTCCATAGAAGGTTATTTGACATAATTTAATACCTAAGAACATATGCATATCAGCACGAGCCATGGCTTCTGGTTGAACAATTCTTTGCCTGAATGTCTGGGCCATCTTTTCTGCCTACAACACAAGGGTATTTTAGGCAAAATGACAAATAATCATACATAATTTTCTAAAAAAAATACACCAAGAGAGAGCATAGTAAAATACCTTCTCAAAAAGTAACTTTGGGTTACGAATCATGTCGTCAGGTGTCGGTTCAAGCATGTTGGGTATTAGACATGCATAAATTATAAGACATAGGTTTGGTTAGGTCACGGTCGTAATGGATTTGAGACCACATCATGGCCATTTGTCTTGAAAGAAATAAGTTGTAAATATTAAAAAGGTATATGTATATACAAAGATATACTTTGGTGACAAAATTGCAAGAATGGTCCCTGTGGTATGTCAAAACTAGCAACTTTGGTCCAAAATAGGTTTGGCTCGCAAGGATGGTCCAATAGTTTCATTTTGTTGCGAGTTTAGTCCAAAAATTTTAAAACTTTTTATAATGACGGATTTGCCCTTGGTATTTTCCCTTTTTCAATTTTTTTATTACAGAAATCAAAAAAAAAAAATCTCTCTCTCTCTCTCTCTCTTTCTCCTCAACCTCCCTTTCATCTCCAACTCGTCTATCTCCCTCGTTTCTCACTTCTCCGGCGAAGAGAGCCACCACAGTCGACTGTGGCAGCTCCTCCGCCTCCCCCTGTCGTGACCCACCACCATCCAACATCCCAAATCCAAATCCACAATGGGTGTTCTTCGTTCTTGATTTTGGATCTGAAATAAAACACAAACAAATTTAACACATGTCTGGAAGTGGATTTGCAAAACGAAGAACCTTCACTTTTACCAATTTTGTTCAATTTATTAGATTAAGTTTACAAATGTTCCAGACTCTAAACACACACATACACAGTTACACATACATCAAGATTAATTTGATTTAAACAACGGAAACAAAGCTCAATCTCATTAGCTGTGAAGTCGATTAGAACTACAAAGATACACACACAAATATGAATATGAATATCAAGACACTCATTTTTTCCTGAGTTCAAGAACAAGAACATCACATTCACAAACCCCATAAATCATTCACAAACCCATAAATCATTTTCCCTGATCTGATGAACTGCCCTTCACCACCACCAAAATCGACATCAAGAAATATTTCAAACAAACCCAACAACAACAATCTAGATAGAAGAAGAAGAAGAAGAAGGAAAGAAACATAACAAACACAACAATAACATATCTCAACCCTAGATCACAATTTCAGTTGTTTTCTGCGGCATATTCACTCAAAATAGCCACTGGACGAACAAAGTTAGGGATTTCCAACCCTCTTAAAACGAGAAAGCTTAGGAGAGAGATGAACAGTCAATGAAATCCATAAGGAGAGTTATGGATCTAGAAACCGCCGCCTGAAGCATAACCAGCACCACCTGAAGTCGGTAGAGGGATTTGAAGAGACATAGGAGAAGATGAAAAGAGACAGAAACGTAGATCGGATATCGGAGCTACAACCCTTCATAAACGTAGATCGAACAAATATGGCGCCATCAGAAAACCCTTCGTCGAAGAAGGCGGAGGGACGTCTCTAGTGGTGGACAGCGCCATCGTCTTCGTCGGATGAACAAATCTGGATTTCACCTTGATCGTTTAGGAAAGCTTCGATAGAGATGACAGATTTGAGGGTAATGAGTGCTTGGTGGTCAACTGAGAAGACGGAGATGGCAGATTTGAGGGTAAGAGACGTGTCTCCGGTGGATGTGCAATTTTCCGGTGAATAAAGATTGAGCACATCTGAGAGAAAATGGAAGTATGGGAAGAAGATGAATAGGTCGATTCTTGGAGAGAGAGAGAGAGAGAGAGAGAGAGAGAAGTATTTTATTTTTGTTATATTTTTAATTGTTTTTTAATTACATGTAATAAAACAAAAAATGAAAAATTAAACAATAAGGGCAAAATCGTCTTTACAAAAAAATTCAAACCAAATTGGACCAAACATGCAAGGAAATGAAACTATTGGACCATCCTTGCGAGCCAAACCCATTTTGGACCAAAGTTGCTAGTTTTGACATACCACAGGGACCATTCTTGCAATTTTGTCTATTTTGGTTAATTTATTTTATAAGGAATGAAAAATTAACTTCTATTATTATATAGACAAAATTGCAAAAATGGTCCCTGTGGTATGCATTTTTTTGGGGTTTTAGTCCAAACCCCGAATTTTTTAGATTAGTGGTCCTTTTGAGTTAGTTTCGTTACGTTTTTGGTCCCTCTGAATAGTGAAATGACTGTAATACCCTTGGGGTATTTATTTTCCATTTTTCTTTCATTCCTTTTTAAATCTAATACTAAATTATTTATTTTAATAATTAAAACAATAACAAGGGCTCACACACAAACACACACACACACCACACACACACACATCTCTCTCTC